CGTTTTCTCGAGATAACGGGTAAATTTTCTCATTATCTCAGGATAACAAGAATCGTTTTCTCGTGAAAACGATATAATTGGTGTTAGTGTTTGCCCACTCGTGCCTGGTCCAGGATGGAATCTCAGGTGTGTGGGACCTCCCACACACCTGAGATTCCATCCTCAGTCACCAGGGGGGGCCGGAGGACAGACGAGACCGGGCACGAGCGCTTCATTGTAAGTTGTCGTGCTCGGTCAGCTGTCTATATAAGATATGTCACACCAGGAAGTCCGACAACTTCTGATGAAGGCTGAAGTGACAGTCGAAACTGTCAACGGGATAATTATCTCGTTATCTCGGGAAAACGCCGTTTAAAAAAATGTGCGGCCATGACCGCTCTCGGCTTCCGTAGGCAGAACCTTAGGTAAAGGAGAAAGACAGGAAGATGAGGCAGAAGTAAAGCAAAGGTAGGTGGGGCACAAGAAGCAAGATATAGTATGTATAGACATGCAACAGGAATGGGAGGGATTGAGGTGTGGTCCTGCCCCTGAACCTCAGCTAAAGATTTTGTCTCAATTGAAAGAAGGTCGTAGTGTTTGGTGTTAAAGGACATGCCCTGGTCAAAAATAACTTCAGGGTACCTCACAGTAGTAGTGGAAGGTAGGACAATGCCAAAATTAAATGATTATATTGTTAGATAATGAAGTGCTGAAGTGTTCGAGGTCAATACAATAATTTCAGTTTTGTCAGAATTTAAAAATAGAACATTACAGACGATCCAAGCCTTGATGTGTTGTGGCCGGTGGCCAAAAGGTGTGTGTGCGGGACCAAAACGAACAGTGAGCAGGACAAAGGATAAACAGGTGTATTTCAGGGGATCCAGGGAGTGTGGGACACCGGGAGGCAGGTGAAGGGATCCGGGGTAGGTGCGCTGTCGCTGCGGTGGTGCAGGCGGGTGATAACTCATGTCCGTGCTCGTGAGACGTTCTCCCCGTGCAGGTGCCTGTGCCAAGGGACAATCTAAATCCGTGACTCCGTGGTGCACAAAAGGGCTGGCGTAGCGAGCTGGAGACGCTGGGCACTGGAGCCGGTGAAAGAGACGCTGGCGAAACACAAGAGTATACAGTTATTAACAAACTCGAGAATACTTTAGCAATACGCTCATGTACTAGCTAGGCGGCCGAAAGTACCACTGGTAGAGTTGTCAATCATCTGGCACTCGAGCACAGGTGGAATAGTGGCTTTATCCAGCGATAAAGTGATGAGATGAGCTGCAGCTGTGCCAGCGCAGAGCGTCTTCCTCCAAGCAGCTCCGCCCAGGCAGAAAAAACACAGCACAACTCCAGCCGCCACACAAAACCACCGCCAGCCATATACAAATAAAACCACTAAAACACAGCACAATCACCACATGATGTCTTGAATACATGCCTGTAGACATGATTGAGGTTTGAAGAATTCAGTAGTCCAAGGTTCTTCTAGAATAGTTAATTGTCAAACCTGAACTGACATATCCCAGATACCATCAGAACAGCTTACTTGTGCTTTACATGTTCTGAGTTTCTACAGTTTTGAACTGTTGATGGTAAATTGCTAGCAGTGTGGTACACGTAATATTGAAATATACTGATAATCCCACCTGACTGCATAATAGCAAACAAAAATGTATGGTACACTGTTCCTTTAATTGCTTGTTATTTTAAATTTTTTGTTAAACTTAGCTAATTCTTTGTTAAAGATAAAAAATTATACTTTTTTCTTGTAGGTGAATGATGCCATAGGAATGGAATGGCCATGGATATTTTTCACCTCACTCATCTTGGTGGGCTCCTTCTTCGTGCTCAACTTGGTTCTGGGTGTGCTGAGTGGGTAGGAATACCTTTGACCTAACTACCACCCCTTTGTTATTTTTATTTTTTTCGTGATAATGCTTTATTCATCGCACTGTCCATTTCTCCAGGCCATATGTTATGTATGCTCTTCACATTAATTCTCATTTTGTTCTGTCTTACATGTTCACTTTCTTGTATCCTTCTAGTGAGTTCACAAAAGAGCGAGAGAAAGCCAAGTCCCGTGGAGAATTTCAGAAGTTGCGGGAAACCCAGCAACTGGATGAGGACCTCAAAGGCTATATGGAGTGGATCACTCAGGCTGAAGTCATAGATAATGACCAGGAGAGACAGGGTAAGACGCAAGACACACAGAGGCAAATACCTGTTATGTCAGAATGACATAACTGTCAAAACTCCCATTACTACAGTTGGATCTTTTTGTAAAACATAACCATGAATGTACTTGTTGACAATTTCATATTCATTTTTGGTTGAATTTTGTCCACATGATAAGGCAGACCTCTCCTCTTTAAAATACACTATTCACAATATAGCGCTTCCTAAGTCCTAATGGTTAATACAAACTTTAACTTAAATGGAGTCTGGGTGTCGAAGCAGGGTAAAAGGCAAAAAACTGTGAACCTGAGACAGCTAAGCGGATCTGACATCCCCGGAAGAAAATTGAAAAAAACAAATGGCTATTTTGTGAATTTTTAAACAAATGCACATGTGCACAATAAACTTGCATACAACTGTAGCAGACAACAATTCTCCTTTGCCTCAGCTGCTTGGGTTGGATGGGTTCAACAATGCCGTTCTTAAAACCCATTAAAAAGAAGAAGCCACCCATCTTCACCCAGGAGCTTATAGATATATACACTTACATATACTTACACAAGATATATACTATGAAATACTCATCAGCATTGTGTGTGTGTGTGTGTGTGTGTGTGTGTGTGTGTGTGTGTGTGTACATGCACATGTATTTTCTTCAGGCCTGCTACCACTGGAAAATGGAGGATCAGAAAATGGAAATCCCGTCAAAATGGACACCATGCAGTTGATCATCTATTACTAGTCAGTAGTGCATTTGTCATCTTTACAGTGTGATTACAGTATACATATACATACATATATCCTAATTTCGCTATATAAAATACAGCGACAACAAAGGCATTCTATTCTATTCAGTACCAGCAAAAGTTTAGACTCACCTTCTCAGTCAATGGTTTTTATTTATTTTAATAATTTTCTACATTGTAGATTAATACTGAAGATATCAAAACAACGAAAGAACACATATGGAACTATGTTGTAAACAGAAAAATGTTAAACAAACCAGAATATCTTTTATATTTTAGATTCTTCAAAGTAGCCCTGTTTTGCTTTGATGACAGCTTTGCCCACTCTTGGCATTCTCTCAATCAGCTTCATGAGGTGGTTTGGAATTAACAGGTGTGCCTTGTCAAGAGTCAGTTTGTGGAATTACTTGTCTTAATGTGTTTTAGACCAGCAGCTGTGTTGTGCAGAGAAACAGTGGATACGCCACAGATCGTGTTCAGAGATTCAAGTGCAGACAAAGACACGACAAACCAAATGTGTAAAATAACTGTATTCATATTATAATTTTATTTTATTTTAATTTATTTAATGTTCTTTTTGGCTTTTTGCCTTTATTTATCACAGCACTGGAGAGAGACAGGAAAGGGGGGAGAAAAATGGGGAAAGACGTGCATCCAATGGCCGTGGTCGTGGGATCGACTCTCAACCACGGCTATTTGCTGATAACTGGTGGTCGAGGTTGATCCCATGGCCGCTGCATTGTGGACTATAGCCCTGGTTTGTGGGTTGTTGTCTTATCCAATTGAGCTATCGAGGCGCCCCCACAATGATGATTTTTACAGGAAATGGAAAGTGAGGTCTGAGAGGAATGGTGGGCTAGAGCTCCTTTGGGAGCCAACTACAGGTTGGTATGGTAACTACCAAACAATTTCAAATACAAAAATTAAAGGAGCAAGCAGCATTGGACGGGTCGTCGCACTTCTACGTGTGTCGGACGCTGAGCATGTCGGGGTTGTGGCAGAAATGCGCTGCGGGAAATGTGACAATCATCTAAGCGTAACCCGTTTCTCATAAAACAGTAAATGCAGTTAAGTGTCACAGTTGTGCAGAATGCTGTCGTTGTTCCGTTTGTCCATTAGATGGAGATCTGACTCCTTTCAATCCTCAGTCCTCATTGTGTCTCCTCAGTAGTACAGGAGTAAGCTGCAGCCAGAGCGGTTTAGACGGCCGCCAACAGCACACTGTTTGATGAAAAGTCTTTCTTTTTGAGGTGTGTAGGAGTTAACCCCTCGGACACGTGTCAAACTCAAGACACGTGTCAAACTCAAGGCCAGTGGACCAAATTCGGCCCGTCACATCATTTTATGTGGCCCGCAAGAGATGTGTGTTTCCTAATCTGATAAATTAATGGGATTTACCTGATGTAATACAATGTTATGACTTATGTTATAATAACACAGCAATGTACCTACACAGGGCTTTGGACTGCGACCAAAATGTTCTCATGTATGACCATTTTTGAGCATGCAAGTGAAGATGAGCATCAGGCTGATCTGGTTTCTTCCGTACAGGTAGCTGCTGCTCCAGTTACTGTGGTTGGAAATAATCACATTTCTTCCACATTGACTCAGTCTCTCTCTGCCTGACGGGTAAAACAGTCAGTTTCACTATTACTGTATTCCAATGACAAAACGATATATAGCCGACAATGTTAAAGAAAAGACAAGAAAAGAAAAGAAAAGAAAATTGAGGTGAGAGAGGGAGAGGTCCAACACACCTGATGATGAAAGTGTTCAGGTGCAGGCAGACAGATCTCGACTGAGTCAGTCAGGAAGAAAAAGTAGCCCCACATCCAATCTGGAAGGTTCACATTTTAACAACAATCACAATTTTGACGATATACACTGATGGCCAGTGTGGACATTTAAAAGCCCGTAGAAAAGTGTGTTCATGAATAAAACTCTGCTAAAAACGCTGCCAATAGAAAACCTTTCATTGTGGGCAAATTAGTGTAGAATGCACTTTCTACTGTTTTCCAACAAATGTTTGGTTGCACACCTGGCAGAGGAGCTGCACTGCAGACACCTGGTAGCATCTACCAGAGCAGCACGTGAGGCATTCAGGGAACATCGGTAAAATGTACCATCTACAGGAGCAGCATGTGAGGCGTTCATGGAACATCTGTAAAATGAAGCATCTACTGGAGTAGCATGTGAATATGAATTATGCAAAAACAACTATTCATTAGCTGCATGGTGCATTAATAGCTGTGGCAATGCTGAACCACAATAAGGGGGGTGGGCGACTAAATCATTAGCTGGTGCGACAAACGAAGAAAGCTGGTAACACCATCACCATCACAATCAGATGCAGAGACAATTATTTAACAATATGTTAAGGAGTAACTGGCCCTTTGAGGGCAAACATAATGCTTATGTGGCCCAGAATCAAAATGAGTTTGACACCCCTGCCCTAGGAGGAAGTAGATTTTGAAAATGTCAAAAATCACAAAAAATTGCACAGTTACTTCAAAACGGCGGACTTCCTGTTGAGTTATGACGCATACCATGAGTTATGGTATGGGTCCAAAAGTCTTTTTCGTGCGTCCTGATGTGTTGCATATGCCTACCAAATTTCGTAAACATCGGTTAAACATCCTGCGGGGGCTAATAGATAAATTGCTGCAGGGGGCGCTATAGAGCCATTTTGCCAAACAGGCACACATTGTCTGTCGTTGAGCCGATAGTGACTCGTATGCCAATTTTGTTGAGTTTATGAGCATTCCAAAGCTGTCAAAAAATCCTTTCCGTGTCATAGCAACTATGCATCGCCATGGCAACACCGTTGCTTCATGCTGTAACATCGTCAGTATGGGAAGACTTAGCTGATCAATTTTAGGAATGATATCACAAAGTTTGGAGTAATGGCACATGTACGTGTAATGCCTCAAACAGCCTGTTACCAATAGGTGGCACTATGACTGTGAATGGATTTTAGCATATGGATGTGATCAGGACAACAGTCTGATCAAATATGTAAAGTTTGAGGCAGATTGGAGCATGTACAGGGTAGTTACACAGTCCTTTCTCTTTCATGGCAAAGGATCAAAAATCAGAGGGCTGCCGTGGCCACGCCCTTTGACCTTTGCACGTGATTTTGATAACATTTTACCTTCAAGGCGTATTCTGCATGCTACCAAATCTGAGCGCTCTGTGACTTACCCCCTCGGAGGAGTTAGCTCAGGTTGGACAAACAAACAATCCAAAATGGCGGACTTCCTGTTGGGTTTAGGGTATGGTTGTCACTAACTTTTTTGTTCGTCCTGACTTCCACCATATACCTACCAAATTGCGTAGGTCTAGGTCAAACATGCTTCCAATGGGACTCTGTTGAAATTTTCTAGGTGGCGCTGTAGAGCCATTTTTCTGTTGAGGTGTGTATTTCCCCTCAATCATAAAATTTTTCGCTGGGTCTGATGTGTGTGCCAAGTTTTGTGCGTTTTCGAGTACGTTTAGGACCTGAAAAACACGTTTCTTTGTGTCGAAGAAATAATGACATAGCAGTTCCAATAGGGTCCTACTCACTGTAGTGTTCAGACCCTAATTATGAAGCTCAACGTAGTAATAGGGATGTGGACCTCACCAGTATGACAAGGCCAAAAAACATGCACTTCAAATGAGTGACTAACTATATTAGAGAGGACCCAGCATGAGACAGGTGAACTTAGCTGACAACCAAAGCAGGGAAAAGGATGAGGGAAGGTGAATGGAGAAAGCATGTAGTGTGGTTGGAATGGCTTCTGAGCCCCTCCACAGTCGAAGTGTCCTTGAGCAAGACACTGAAGCTAAAGTTGCTCCCAATGGTAAGCGCCTTGTATGGCAGCTCTGTCGCCATTGCTGTATAAATGTGTGTGTGAATGGGTGAATGAGGACACATTGAAAAGTGCTTTGTGTACCTCCAAGATAGAAAAGTGTTATATAAGTGCAAACCATTTAACTAAGGTCTGGTGTCGTGTAGTGGTTTGAGCGTGGCTTTTATTGCAGATGGTGATGAGTTGTAGGTGGGCCACTCCCCGGGTGTTGTTCAGGTCGGTTCACTTGGGTGATTATCCAACTGGCTGCACCTGCCTGCTGCCAACAAGTGCTCAGCACCTCTGGGAGGTCCTTCAGGACTGGTGGAAAACTGTTCCAGGAGACTACCCTCATGAAGCTGATTGAGAGAATGCCAAGAATGGGCAAAGCTGTCATCAACACAAAATAGGGCTACTTTGAAGAATCTAAAATTTAAAACATATTGTGGTTTGTTTAACATTTTTCTGTTTACAACATAGTTCCATATGTGTTCTTTCATAGTTTTGATCAGTATTCATCTACGGTGTAGAAAATAAATAAAATAAAAGCCTTGAGAAGGTGATTTATATATATATATATATATATATATGTTGTCTGAAGCACAGGACAAGAAGAGCAGCTGTATATGCAAAGTAAAATGTCTTAATTTAGGAGCAATGTGAAGATAGTCATTCTCCTGTGTTTTTTGCTGTTGCAGTAAGCTGGCTCGTAAGTGGAACCGTTTGTTACGCCGTAAATGCAGAGTATACGTGAAGTCCAAACTGTTCTACTGGTGGGTGATCATGCTCGTCTTCTTCAACACACTGGCCATTGCAACGGAGCACCACAAACAGTCGCAGAGACTAACAAACTGGCAAGGTCAGAGCATTACTCACCTTACATACCTATATATAGTTTAATATTTTATTTCCTGACAGTTTAAAATATTTAGCTCTTCCATTTAAGAACACCATGTAAGAGCAACACAGACAATACACACAATACAATTATATCACATAATACATCTCTGATGTGAAGAGAGGGATCAAACCTTTATGTTGATGTGTGTGTGTGTGTAGGTGTGTGTGTGTGTGTG